CGGGTTTGAGGGGGACATTTTTCGAGTTGAACAAGGGTAGGGTGGGTCATGACCCAACGCGGTAGCCATGTATGCGTGCGTCAGCTTAGGCGTGGTCGCCCCCCGCCGCCACTCCCCACACCACCGCCGCCGATGCGGCCTCCAGAGCGTCCCTGAATTAATCAGCCCAGGCTTTGGTCTGTGCGCCGCCCGGAGCACGGGCGCTGGAGCCATGCCGGGGCACGTCAAGAGAGGCGGCGCGGCGTGTAAGCCGAGGGGGGGCATACCCTCTCGCCGGGGAAAGCGCTGCTCACTGTCCTGGGGATCGTCTCGTTTGTATCGCTTCATGGCATTGCCCACTCGATGCACCTTAACTATGCAGCCCCCCTCCCCCCCCACACATCAAATAAAAAGAAAAACTGTTGAAAGTTGACTTACAAAAAGAAATATGGTGCTTAACGGTAAGCAGAAAAAAAACAATCAATGACACATTTGACATATGAATCTTATTTTTAATTTCCGTTGTATAAAATGTTCAAAAGTTTAAGTTTTTACGAAATGTATCACCTGCTAATAAAGGAAACTAAGAATGTTTCTAAATAAGATCTTTACTAAAATAGTTGCACTGTAACACATCTACTGTAACCCTTCTTGCCGCCTATGCCGCCGCCGCTGTCAGCACGCTGTCAGCCCAGCTCGGTGCCCCCATAACAAAAGCGCCAGGCCAAGGCTGGCAATCAAGCGCTCGTTGCAGCAGCAGCAGCAGTGTCCGCCCGACTGTCCTACGGACTGTCCTACGGACTGTCCTACTGCTGCGAGTTGGGCGCCCTCCTTGTTACGAATCGTTAAGACTCACACTACTGACAGGCCAGTCAGTATGCCTGTCTGGTGTTTATGGTTCCCAGGCGCAGCGCCCATAGCAGCAGCAGGGGGTGCAGATTCACCTGGCCGCGCCGTTCGAAAGCACGCGCCATATCATCACACCCGTCCCTGCTGCGCCCAACCATAAGGCCCAACCAGCACGACGGGCAGGAGTGACAGCAGAACGTTGAGCTTCATATGTGAGGTGAAAGTTTTCCCCCGGAGTGGCCTTGTCCTATGAAAACACACCCGCGCTTGACCGGTGGAGAACACACCCCAGAATTTCAACCTGTTTTGGCAGAGCGGATAGGCGTGGCGGGTCGGGTCGGGGCGGAGCGGGTGGGGCGGAGTGGTGTAAGGCCGGCAGTGGGTGGTGGTGATTCCCCGTTTTGCATGGGTCATCATCATCATAGCCCGGCCGCGTCACACAGAGTGTGGAGACGCCACACGCTCCGGCTCGGGGCGCCCCCGGGAATGCGGGGAATGCTGCTCGGCGGAGAACACGTCACCTGACGTCATGACTCTGCGCGACACGGCACGGCGACCGTTGGCGGTGGCGGTCTGACGTAGGAGGGTGTGTGTGTGGAGGAGGGAGCGGCAACCTCGGCATGCATTGCATCTCCATCACCCAATCAAACCAGACCAGGCGAATCGAGAGAGGGAGGCTCTGTTTACAACAACTCTCTTTCAATTTTTCTCACGAACGTAAAGAAAAAGTGCTGTTTTAATCATTTTCGGCAAGCCGTACGCGCCGTCGTGTCTTCAGTTAGTTGCTGAGCGAAGCGAAGCTCTCCGGAACAGTGGACCGAGCTCTCCTGTGGACCTGGCGTGTCGTTGGTCGTGAGTCTGTCTGTCTGTCTGTCTGTCTGTCTGTCCGTGAGAAGCAACCACTACTCTTTTGCTGTAGCGAGTATCGCTAAAAG